CACGTCCCCTCGGAGTCACCCAGCCCCGGGGCCCTGCTGAATGGAGCCCTCGTCCGGGCGCTGACCTGCAGGGAGGCTGCAGCCCCGGGCCCGTGCGTGCATGGCCTGGAGCGAAGCCGGTGACGGCAGCCAGAAGGGCAATACAGGCACTGAACTTGGCGGTACATGACTGCATGGTGTGTGGTGTTCCAGTTAAACCAACCGATAATGCAACCCCAGCATTTTCATTGTCTAGTTATTCCAATCCTTGCTGTAAATGTGCCACATGAATAAAGTTTGGGGGTAAAGGAGCCCGGGCTGTGCCCATGCATGTGTGAGTTTGTGTGGGGGGCAGAGGCAGGGGTGTGCCGCCTGGGTAGGTGGGAGCAGGGTGCTCCCTTGGGTACGGCACGTCCACGCTCCCCGGAAAGGCAAGGTCTTGGACTATGAAAGGGCGGTCCAGGTTCCCTGCTGCTGGGAACACTGCCCTGCTCTCCAGCATGGGCACTGTGGGTGGGCAGTGGCCCCACCACCACCTCAGCTTTGCTCGTGCCCCAAGGCAGCTCTGCCCTGAGGCTGCCACCAGCCTGTCACAGCTGGGTCATACCCACGGGTGCACACCTGGTGCAGCGTGACAGCCGCTACCACATCCCACTGGCATCTGCCCTGCCACCCTGCAGCCTGGCAAACCGTTCCCACACAGCCACTGCTGCACTTGGAGCATCTCAGCTACAGGCTGGGGCCAGCATGGCTCTGCCCTGGGCACTGGGGCACCCACTCTGCCCCAGCCAGCAGAGCCAGCACAAGCGCAGCACCAGGGAATGTGGGAGCCACATCCAGCTGGGCAAGAACTGCCACCGTTTCCAGGTGCCCAAGAGACCTGCCCGGAACCAGGGTGCCACCGGGTGATAGGGTCACAGGTATCCAGCTGGCACCAAGTGGGCAGCTCCCAGAGGGAAGGGGCAGCCACTTGTTCCATGCAAAGGTCACAGGGGCTGTACTGGCTCCCTCTGCAGCCCCGATCAGCTTTATTGACCCATTTTCGATGGAGTCGTCTAATTAGTTTTTTATGAAAACTAAGAACTTGGCCTTTGCCCTTTACTCCTGCAGGCAAGAATGTGACTCAGAGGACATTGTCACGGTGGATCGATGCCAGTCACACTTGAAAGGCAGATGGAGGGGACACAGGGTGGGCAGGTGGGCAGTAGCCCAGAGTGGGGCACGCAGCCAGGGCTGCCTGTGCCAGGACTCCCACCGCGATGCCTCAGCCCCTCTAAAGCCCTGCAAAACATGAGGTGCAGTGACCAGGGGTGCCTCTCACCACATGGAAACCTTGGGCAAGGCAGCAGGAGGAGGAACTGTCCTGACAGTGGGGGGACAACAGGACTGTTTCCAGCAGGGGCATCCCCTCACCCAAGCAAGGTGTACAGCTGCCAGAGGTGAGCAGCTGCACAGGGGCTGGGCACGTGGGATGCTGGATGGAGCTCCCCAGCCCGGTGTGGGCAGTGCAGCAGCAGCCTGGAGCAGCACCTGGCAGCCCCAAAGGCAGCAGGGGCTGCTGCAGCAACTCCAGCTGTCACCTGGTGACTGAGGTGGCTGGGCTCAGGGACAGCCACCGGCAGCCAGGGCTCCCAACAGGGTTAGCAGTGCCCAGCCTGCCTGAGGTGGAGGTGAGACAGCTCTGTGCAGCCTCACCAGGGCTAAGGATGGCTCTGCTCTAGTACAAGTGATGGGCTCTGTATTTACAGAACACGTAAAAAAAAAGTCATAAACCACAGCCTGCACTAGTGGCCACAGGGCAGCATGGGTGGCCCTGGGCAGAGCCCTGCACAGCCCTGTGGTCACCCTCCAGCACCTGCTGCAGGTGCCCAGAGGTCACACCACTGAGGGCAGATGGGGTTGGGGCCACAGCGCTGGGCAGGGGATGGCTCCCATTTTTCTCTGGAGCACTGCAGTGATTGCCCCAGCAAGGCCCCCATCCTGCCCCATGTCTGCAGGCAGCCAGCTGTCCCCGGCAGCTCTGGGACAGCTGGCACTGCCCTGCACACAGCTCCGCACCTCCTCCTCACCCCGCACAGGGGGCTCATGGCTTCTTCACCTTCTTGACAGAGGAGGAGCTGGAAGCCAACTCCCTTCACTTTCTCTACTCCAAGAGGGAGACAGGAAACGAAAGAAAAACCAGGGTCAGCAGGTGGGAGTGCCCGGGTGGTGCAAACACACTCATCTGTCCCAGAGCCAACTCCAGGGCTCCAACAGCACTCCGGGCAGAGCCCAATGGACCACACTGCCCAGCTGAAGGGAGAGCCAGGTCCTTGCACCACGGGAGGGGCAGAGCTAATCCAGCAGTGGCAAGGGGTTGGGATGGCACCCTCACAGGGGATGTCACCTCCCTGACATGGACAGGGCTTTGGGACGGTCAGGAGAAAGGGGTTGAGCTCTGCAACAACTCAGGAGCCCTGACCAAGAAACCTGGCATGCACCAAGCCCTAAGGAGCAGGGCCTTGAGAGAGGGGCAGAACAGCTCTGTGCTACGGCCAGCTGTGCCAGGGGTCCCCATGGCACGGCACCGAGCCTGCTTTGCACAAGGCACTGCAGGCAGAGGCCGGCACTGCACCAGCACAGCAACTCTGGTCAGGACCCTGCCATGCCCAGCCCTGCAGCCGTCCCCGATCCCCAAAGCCTGCAGAGCCACTGGCCCGGCCGGCAAACACACAGGGATGGACAAGCACCGACCCGCTCTCTGGAAGGAGCCAGGCCTGCCCATCCCTGCTCCTCCATCCCTGCCAGTCCCGCACGCGTTTGCTCCCGGCGGCAGCGCACGTCGTGGGAGGCCCCGCTGCCTCCCCCGGCGGGAAGCAGCCCCCAGTTCCCGCCGGGCAGACGGCAAACAGAGCATGGAATTTGCACGGCTAAAAGTTAAATACAACACACACACGGATTTCGTCAGAGGCCCTGGCACCGCTGCCTTCACGGGATCCGATTAACAGGGAAATAAAAGGGCCAGAGAACCCACACAGCAGAGTGAGCAGATGCCCTATAAAAATCAAATACAGGGTAATCAAGGGGACCGAAAGGTACATTTAAAAAAACAAAAACCCACCCTGGAAACAAAGGAGCTGGGCTTTGTGGCTTTCCTGGGAGGGCTGCGGAATTAATGGGGAAGAGCACATGTGTTTGATAATCTTTATATGGCAAAAGACCCATCTTTCAAATATGTCACAAATTCATATTAATCACCTTCCTATTGCCTTCCGTGGCACAGCTATTCCAGTTGCCTCGGGCAAAATTGGGAACTGTCTGGTTAAAAAAAATGTTTTACATTATAATTTACAAGAGCTTACAAGTCTAGTTTCTTTTAATGGAAAGAACGATTAAAAAAAAGAGAGGAATATATATACACCCTGGTATATATACACTATATATATTAAAATATATATATATAAAAGACAGATATTGTAACTCCATCTGGAAAGAGAGAACGTTTGATCTTAACAATGTAACTTCTAGCTTTCAAACAGGCTCAGAAAACAAGAAGTCAGCAGGAGTTCAGATAAAGGAAGCTTAAAAGTCAAATAATTCTGACTCTGAACCCGAGACTTCTTAGACTCAAGGTCCTTTCCTTTACCCATTAATGGGCTGACTTGTGAGCTCAGGAACAAAGTGCTGCAATGTGAGGATTTCTGAGAGTCACTCATTACAGATCACTGAGTGGAGTCTGAGTTGCGGAAATCAAAGGATCCAATCTGGAGTAACTGGCTGAACTTCTGCTTGGAACTAATTTGTTCCGAGTTCGGCTCACCTTTCACCTCCCGAAGGCCCCGAGTAAAGTCCCTACCGGGGTCAGCCTCAAACAGCACTGGGGGGATCCCAGCTCCGCTTTAATGGTCAGCAATGGGCACCGCAGCCCCTGGGAGAGGGTGGACAGGCAGCCAGGGCAGGGGAGAAGTGGTGGACACAGTGGGGCAGGACAGTGCTGGGCTTCCCGCTGCCCCACGGGCTCTCACTGCTGAGACAAGCAGATGCCTCTCCCAAGCTGGGCTAACACACCTTGCTGACATGTGCCCCATCCCCACTGCTGGTCAAGGCGGGTGGTGGCAGACGGTTATTGACACAACAGTATCTCAAAAGAGCCTGGTGTGCCTTTGCCCATCCATTCCAATTCCTGGAAATGAATCCAGGCAGGTCAGGAAGGGCTCAGGAGTCAGGAGTCTGTCCTATTCCCAGCTTTGCCACTCACTCCCTCCAACATCTGGAGCAAGATACTTCTCTCCAGGGAAACAAACCTGGCTTCAGGGGAGTAGCTGGTTTAGAGGTTGAACTAATCCACGTTTAATCCAACATGTAGAGTGCCGTGGACAGGCAGTGCTAGACAGCACAGAGGGATTCTCCAACTCAGAGGAATTTGAAGCGGGGAGATTAAATGATTCCCCCAAAGGCCCCGGCAGCTCAGTGGCAAAGCACAGGTTTGAACTCAGGAGTTCAAGGCTGGCGTGGCAGGGTTAAACCTCTCAGTCGCCTCCACAAGGGGAAGGGCAGGTGTCGGCTGCAGGAGGCGAGGGAGGGAATGGCCACCACGGAGCACGGCTATGCTTGCCCTCCAGAGCTGCTTGTTCCCACCCCCACAGCGCTGCCCCTGCAGGCGCCCCGGGGCAGGGGCAAAGCACTGTGCTTGCAGGGGCTGCTCCCCCAGCGCCGTGTCCCGGCCCCGCTGCCTCCCTGCTGTCCCCTCTGCACCAGGGCCTGGGACACCTTGGGGCAATCGCTGTGCGGGGTGGGGACACGTGCACGCACCCCACCAGTCAAACAGCCAGCGACTGCCCCAGCCACCCCCCTTCTCAGCCCTGACCCAGCCCACCGACCTCCCAAGGCCAATTTTCAGCCATGATGCTGCATGAGAGGCACCAGAACGGCTCCTGCCGGCTCTGGGCATGGCAGGGACCATCACCAGGACATGACCTCCACTCAGCTCAGCCTATCCTTGGAAAAGCCGGCTGTGGGCTGCAGGTTGTTGATCTCTCCCACCACCACATTGCCCAACAACTGCAGGAAAGGTTCAGGGCAAGAACAGTGACAGGCCCTGCCTGACCCTCCAAAGATATCTGAGCCAGGCAGAACATGGTACAGCAGTCCCATTCTCCTCCTCTCCAAAATATCTCTCCAGCTGGGATGTAATTTCTGCCCCCCCTCAAAAGGTAGCAAAAAATGGTCACAGTGTGAATGTGCTTGACCTTTTGTCTTGGACTAATCTAATTGTGTCGTCTTTGTGTAATCAGCCGGTAAAGGTCAGTGCTGTATTTAACATGGGGGCCCTTTAGGTACTGAATTTGCCTTGCAGTGAATTAACTTGATTATATTTCTTTCAAATATGTCAGAGACCAGGTCAGTTTAACCCTCTCTGTGCTGCCTGGGCCCACCCCTTTGTTTCCAATTCTAGGAGGTGGCACTGGGGAACAACGTGGTTAGAAACACATGCATGGGCTCCCTCGTCCTGCAGCCACGGCCGCCACCACCACCACCACCTCTTCCACCTTCCCAACAAGCCAAGTCCCAAGGGAGAGCAAGTGTGCTGTAAATCAGCCCGAAAAGTTTGCAAACCAGGACACTCCAGACCACAGGGAGAGAGGGAGGGAGGGAGGGAGGGGTGAGATTCCAGATTGAATGCAGTAGGGGAAAAAAAAAACAATTCAGAAGACTCCTTTACAAACATGAACCTGTCTCAGTGGAACTCTTCCTTACGACTCCATATTGTCACAATCAAATAGGACATTACTCAAGTCCAGGTTAACGAGTCGCCTCTGCCGTTGACAGATAAGGTGTTCTCAATATCCTGCAATACATTATACATTTTAGAAAGTAAGGGTCTGTGCCGCTACCAGGGGCAGTGTGTCTGAGGCGTCGGGGATGCCACGGTGTGGAGATGGGCAGCTTTCATCAGGCAGTTCAGCTCAGCTGTGCCAGGGGACTGCACAGAGGGGAAAGCAGCCTCAGCTGATCCCCAGGCATACCCTTGGCCCTGAGGCAGTGGTGAGGGGCTGGGCAGCCTGCCCTCCTGGAGGCAGGGAGGAGAGGCCAGTGATTCACATCCTGCAGAGGTACATGCACAGGACATTGCCACAGGGCTCGCACTCAAAGAACCCCTAGGTCTGGCTTTTCTTTCTTGGCACTGGAAGTAGGGTATAAAAACACCCCTCTGCTCTTCAAACACCTCTCTCCTTCCCAAGCCTCCTGCTCCAGGCAAGGCTACTGCTTGACCCCAGAGTCTCGGGCAGGTCATGGCTCATCACCTCAAGACTGCTTTCCCCACTTGCTTCCCTCTGCTGAGCAACCCTTACGGGACTGTGTCTAGACGGAAAATGCCTCAGGCCTGCAGCTGCACTGTTGCTGCCCTAGAGCAAGCTCTCATCACCCAAAGCCTCGCTGCTTTGGTCCACGGTGGCACCCACGTCAAGCCATCTGCCTGCATGCAGGATGTAGAAAGCCCTGCTGACCCCACCTGTAGCACCAAGAACACTGTCCAGCACAGGAGACAATCCCAGAGAGCAGCACTGGGACTTGGGGGGGAACAGGCGTGTTCTGCTCCCTTGGACGCGCATGCCTGGAGGGAGAGCAGGGCAGCATCCCCAGCGCTCGTCAGGGCATCTGCGTCGGAGACCTGAGTGCTCCCTGTTCTGCCCCCCCAACCTTCCTTCTCACCGAGTTGGGGGTCAGTGGTGCTCCTACTACATCAATGATCTGGTCCTTGGTATCTCCCTTGCCCTCCTCGATGCCAAGCCCTGTCTGGCCATCTGGATGGGCACCTTCCACGCTGAGGGGGCCAATGCTCCCAGCTTTGGCCAGGGCCTCGTAGCGGTGCCGTAACATCTGCAGCTCATACTCGCAGTTGGCAAAGGCTTGTTTCAGCTCGTAGAGCAGCACCAGGTCGCTCCGCAGCTCGTTGAACATCTGCACGATCTCCTCTGTGGGCATAGGGTTGAGATCTAGGGAGAAAAAGGGGTTCTGTTAAACACCCAGACCTACAACCTTACAATGGAAAATCCCTGGAAAGGTCCTGGCTGCCCTTTCACTCCCACAAAATATATGCCAGGAGCTTCACTCCCATTATATGCATCAGTAGCCATCCCTAAGGGTTGCAGACTTGAATTTTCAGGCTGTCCTTTGGTTCTGGCCAACGACTAAGGGTGAACCTGCAAGTCCTGGATTCAGAAACTGAAGGAAGGTACAGATAAGACCAGACGGCTGAACCTTGCTACCCACTAGGTTACATGAAGGGAGCTCTGTCTTACAGAGATACTGTATCCACACTGCCTCAGAGGATAGAAGAGCTCCTGCTGTTCCCTACACCTTTACCAAAAAAGGGTGGACAGGCTGAGCTCCCCTGCCTCTCTTGTCCTCCTCCCAGGGTAGGACTGAGGCAGAGAACTGCTCTACTGCTGTGTTTCAGACCTGTTTGTAGCAGGGACTGGCAGATCACCACCCCATGCCTTGCATTCTGCTGCACCCCACTATGCACACACACAGAGCCAGGAAGAGCTGCAAGTTCTGGAGAAGAAAAGGATGAAGCTCTGCACGTTTGCCCTGACATATGTTAATGGCCCCTGTCTGCAGGGCTGCCCACATGACCCCTTCCTGCCAGCAATGTGTTCACCCTCACAAAGCCCAGGTGTGGTTCTGCACTCAAAGACACAGCAGGGCTGGAGCACCAGGAAGCCCTCAAGATACGTGTGTTCTGTAAGGCAGGAGCGGGGAATCAGGAACCCCTCCTTATCCTCATGGAAAGTGAGCTCTCAGAAGCACTCACATCCTTCCCCAAGGCTTCCCTCAACAGTAACTCCCTTAGTTTTACAGTAGAAAAGGGAAATCGTCCTGGCTGAGCCACTTTGACCAGCCACAGGAGGCCTTCAGAACTGCACACGGTCTCCTAAACAACACACAGAGCCATAAACCAGTTGACCCAAAAAACTAACAAGACTTAACAGAAGCCAGTGCTGGGAGCAAGCTCAGTAATCTCTTGTAAATCACTAATAAGGCTTTTATTTTTCTTCTTTTTTTTTCTTTTTTTAAAATCCCCCCAGTCACAGCAGGGAGGGGGGACAGGGAAGGGATCATCAGGTGTTTAATCAAGAGGGACTGCATGCTGGGACCTGTAACACCTGAAAACTGTACCCACTGCATGGAGAGCAGCCACTGGCCACGGGCTGCACTTCTTCCCCTCCAGCTACGAGCAGGTATTGTATGTGTTAAGTGAACCCTTCTCTCTGCTGCTAAGACACTCGAGCTCAAGAGTGAGGGATGTGTGTTTACTCGCCTTTCAGCAGAGATGCTCCAGATTTTCACACAGCATGCAACCTATAAAGGGGGGATGAACAGTCCCAGATGCATTTTGGACTTGCCACCGTGAGCAGTAAATTAAGAGGAAACGAAGCTTAAAAGCGAGACAGGGCAGCCCTGAACAATGCATGTGCCATGGTCACTAACACACTTAGAAGTACCTCTCCTGGCAAGGCTGAGATTTGCCTTCCTAATACTGTGCTGCCTCTCTTGATGGTTAAAAAGGCCCAAACAAGAGAGAAACAAAGGCTCTTTTAAAAGATTTTTCTACTGGGAGGAAAAAAAAAAACCCTGTGCATCTTGTTCTGGCTTTTACCCTCTCTTTTTTTTTTTTTTTAAACACATAAAATATTTTAAAAACCATTCACATACTGTTATTCAAGAAACTGGCTGTATTACTAGGGGAAAAAATAGCCCATCTCGAGAACAAAGGCTAGCTCTGTGTGTCTCTTTCTCTCTCGTGTGCCCCCTTTACTCACCTACTCCGAGTTCCATCAGCATCTGCTCCAGGGCTTTAATCTTCTTCTGTCCCACCGAGCTTGGCAGTTTCATCTGGAACACAAAGGTAACAGAGCCACACAGCTCAGAGATAGCCCTCACTCACAGCCGTCTAGTTCAAAAGGCAAGAGAGCTTTTCTTTTTATAGTGCAGGGGGAACAAAAAAAGAAAGGGAGAGAAAGGAAAATCAAGTGGTAAGAGAGGGAGACAGGGGCTGAAAGTTTTCAGACTAGGTCCGAGGGCAGGTATTGAAAAGCCCGGTCGTGAGGGCTTTTATTTTCTCTCTCGTGTGTGTGCAAGACACGCTGTTTTACAGTTTCCATGTGTCACTGAATTAACAACAAAAGTTCTTCTTGGCTTCAAACCCTCTCCTGCGGTGCCCAGCCCATCAAAGGGCTCATTTACACAGCAGCTAATGTGCAATGCTGCCCTACTTTATTCGCTTTAGCCGGCCTGATTAGACTCATGCGCTAACAGACTCACTTCTCCTTTTACCTGCTGAGCCCCAGACCTGTGGGATTCATTTACAGAGCAGGCTTTGTAACAAAGGGGAGAGACAGAGAGAGCACAGTTACTTGACTGGCGGAAGTGTGCACACACATTTACATCGGAGCTAAGGGGCTAGGTGAGAGAGGAAGCATCAGATGTGAGCTATGAAAGAGATTCGGAGCTGGCCAGGAGAGGAAGAATGCATACACTTAGCAGGGTCCTTCCTCTGCATTCATTTGGGCTCTAGCAGGAGTGCTAGCTGCTCAGACCAAGCATTTATTAGATTACCAGCAGCACAAATGCAGCTGGCACAATATGGCAGAGAGAGCAGGTTTCTAAGCCCTGCAGATACATCCAAGAAAAAATTAAAGCATTCAGCTACACCAGCAGACACTCCATGAAAGAAATTATTCTCAATGTCACATTGCCAAACATCTTACTGCACCCAGGCATAGGCTGCCCCTCCAAATCCAACCCTGGATGCCCATCACCAACCCAAGCTGCCCAGCAGGGCATTGAACAGCCAGGAGGCAAGAGCATCCTGCAGACATCCAGCACTCCACTTACTGATCAGTGGCCCAAACCTTGGCCAAACCAACCCAACATGGTTGGGAATGACCTGAAGAAAGAGACATTCTTCACTCCACCCTAAAATTGGCCTCTCAGATGAACTTACTGGGGGATCCTGTGGTCACCTTACTTCCCATAAGTCACATGCTGGAGTCACCAAAAAACAGACAGCCCAACGCCAGTTTCCCAGATTAGACCCATCATTTCCAGTGTTCCCTGCCCCACACAAAAATGACAAGAGGCACCAACTGGAACTTCTTAACTTGGGGGACACTAAGAGTTAGCAGAGCCCACTGAAGAGCTCTGGACACACAGTAACTGTGTGATTATCACAGCCCTGAGAGTCTGTCTTCACCCCTGCTCCAACACCAGCATCATTGTCTTTCTAGCCAAAGGCAGGATTCCCTTCTGTTTAACACCAGCTGGCAGAAGCACGCTGGACACCAACCCAGCTTCAGGAACAAAGGACAAGAAACAGGAGAAGTTCATCCTTGGCTAGGCTAGGTGGACAGACAGGAGGTCTTGGTTTGTTGGTCAGAGGAAGAGCACAAGTTTTTCTCCTGGGAGGCCTCCATTAGCTCAAGGAACTACTGGCAACAGAAACGATTAACCTGGCAAAGACTTCAACTGTGATGTTTTGCACGTCTGGCTCATGTCCCACAGGAGTCTGGTCAATGAATACTGAGCCAAAGTGTTCACTGACACTCCTGAAGATTAGAGGATGGAGCAGGGAGAGGCAGGACAAATTAATTTAACTTCAAAGAAAGGAACACTAGAGATGCTCAGGAGGAGTGGGGCTGGGAGTTTAGTTTAAAAACACATCAATTAAGCTTCCTTTTAATTCAGGTAGGAGGATCTGGCCTGCAAACAGGAAGGCTTCATTGGTTTCTCAAAGCAAGAGTATATTTTAATTTTACCATCATTAAGAAAATGTTATGATTTATGTGGCTGCTGTCGGCCTAATATCTTTAGAATTTAGCTGGCTAAGCCAATTCATCTCTAAGACTGATGAAGGCTGATTGCTCTCTATGCAAAATGTATTAAAACTAAATGAGCAGTCTATTACTCAAACGCTGCTGATAATCTGTTAGCCAGGGTCCGTTAGCTGGGCTGCCTTGTTGCAAGAGAAGCCTTCATGCCCTGCACAGCTCTGATAAGCCCAAGCTTACTTCAGAAAGCCCTTTTCTGTTTTGTTCTTTTAAGTAGATGTCCAGAGAAGCACAAGAGTGCTGGAAGTGGTGCTCACTTGCCCTCATTCCCAAAGAATGAGGTAATTTGCCAGGACCACAAGTCCCAGCCAGTGGCCCAGAGAACAGCTCTCTGGCCTGAGATGTGGGCACTGGGACATGTGGTTTCTCTGGGTCACATCTCTGCATTAACAGAAATGCCACTCTGGGCAATATTCTTGCTTACACCACAGCTCCTGGCATTTTCTTGGTGTTGTCATGGGTTGAGTCCTCTGCAGGGGCTGAGGAAAATTATGTTCCTCGGAGAATTCCAGTGAGCAACCACAGCTTCCGAGGTGAATGGCATTTGCCCTTTTCTTTCCTTCCTCATAGTAGACTATTATTGTTATTTATTATCTTTAAAGTCCCCATATAATAATAATACCTGGGAAACAGATTGCTCCCGTCAGAAAACTGATTAGCCGGGGTTTTTGAGGTTACTATATTTTGGATGCTCTTCTCCTTTGACAGCCTCTCCCTACAGTCCTCTTTGCAACACCAGCCTGTGCTTATAATTACACAAACGTAGCTTTTGATTTAAGGACTGTAATCCTTTGTCCCTGCTATAAACAACCTGCATTAAACACATGAACTGCAAGTACCAAGAGAAAAATAAATAAAGAGCTACTGAAAATTGTGTGAGTCAACACCACAAAGCCACAGTACCAGAGCCTACCTGTGCAGAGAGGAGCCTGGGATAAGCAGAATCTACTGGCGTGCACTTGGCCTGGGAGGCACGGAATACACTGGTACTGACCTGCTCTGCTCTCCCCTGAGGGAGGAGGACATGGCTTGGGAGTTGGGCCATGCAGCTTAAATAGACCCAGAACCCACCACACAGAGACCTTTGGGGTGGGCCCTGAGCAATTCCATTTCTCTAGAGGGTCTCACCACGGAGTCCCCTTGAGGTCTCGCATGATACAGGGTTTTTATTTAATGTTCGAGGCATTCCGCCAACAAAACCTTGCTAATTCACACTAATGACTAGGAGACCTACTGCAAATTAATTGCTAATTGGCAAAATTCATTAAATGAACAAACAGCATAAGGAATAACTGAAGATATAGCCTCCCCAAACAGATTTGGTTCATTTATTTTTGTGTGCCATTCAGTTTTCATGATTTATGCTAATACTTTTAAGCATAGTTGTAAATGTATTTGAATCTATTTTAGTAGAGTAACGAAGTCTAAGTAGCAGCAGAGCTGGCAACACAGTCCCCTGGTATGTCTTACAGCATCACCACCTGGCAGGTAGAGACTGTCATGGGGATCTGCAGTAGGAATGGAAGAGGTCTGCAGGATCTACAGACACACTCAGCTAGGTCCCTCAAGTGATTACATCTGTGTGGCCATCTTAAATGTCCTGCTCTCAATTAATCACTTTCTTCATAAATGCTCCTTTTTCTGGTGCTTACAACTGCCCAGCCCCCCCATCAAAATCCTCTTTTGTGCTGAAACCTTTTGTTTGGTGTATCACCAAAATACAAGGTTTTTAAAATTAATCAGTGGTTATTTAAATATTTCACACCCCCTCCCCAAGCTGCACTTCATTTTAATTCAATTTTGAGATAACCTTTTCCTTAAAAATCAACCTTCCCTAACCCTAAACAATATGACTGTCCTAAAACTGATAATCCTAAAATCTCCACACATCTGACCTGTGTCTGTACAATTGTAAACCTGGGGTTTTATGCACCAGCACCAGTTTTGTTCAGCATTATAATACAGCTCACTGACATTGAAAACCACCTTCTTGGTGGATTTCAGCAGCAAAAAAAAAAAAAACTTTCTCATTAGGCACTTTCTTCATAGGTATCTTTAGAGCACTGAATTGTTTAGTGGGTTTCCAGGAAGAAGTGCTAAAGTTTCAGATGAATAACGTTTTTTGCATTTTCTGCCTGAAGGTCAAACTTTCCCTGGGCTGCACGGCTCTACTCTGTGGGAGCAGAGAGCCTCCACTCCTGCACAGTTTTAAGACTCAAGGAAGGAAAGAACCACATTAAGCACTTTAGTCTTAGCACTCTGGAATTTAAAAAACCCCAACAGAGAAATTCCATTTCGGATGCGAACGTGCACGTTTCTGAAACTCTGAGGTGCTTCACTGCTCGGAACTCAGGTGCTGCGGTGGAAGGTGGATGGGCACGAGCAATGGGTATATGCAAAAGTTAGAAAAGTGTGGAACTGCACAGGTATTCTCTGTCTCAAAGAACATACTTGCTTCCCTCTGCCCCAGCTTACAGCTATGGACTCTATGTCTTATGCCTGTGCCTGCTGATCTGTCACACTAAGATTTGGGACAGGTAAAAATAAGGATTAATACCACTATGCCATCTCTACTACGCTATGTAAGACATTAAACACGCAGCCATCTCTTTGGGGTGGCACGTGACCACCAACTTGCTCCAACAGTGAGGCTTAATGCTAAATAAACCAATCTTTTAAAAAGAAAACATTACTATAATAACTTATGTAAATGGTTATTTCAGGGGTTTTTTGGACTGAAGTGAAACAGACCTCACAAATCCCCAAATCAATTGTACACAAATATAAATTCTGTACTTGAATCATCCTGGTAAACTAAACCAGTTTTACAGAAATACACCTAGTGAAAGCTTTGTCAAGGTGAGGGAGGCCAACAGATTCCAAAGAAGCGCAGCACATGTAGGCATATGGCAAAGTAGCAGCTCACTGATCCTATAAACATTAATGCCTCGTTATTCATCTGCAGCACTGATTCAAGAGGTAAAGCTAAGAGAGATCTCCTAAAGG